GCATGGCCACACTCACCAAAGCCCAGGGGCTGCCCGCCGATCCGCACCATCCGCCACAGCTCCCCCGTTGAGCTGGTCAGCAGCAGGTCGCTCGGGAACCTGAGAGAGGGGAGGGCCTGAGTGTCCCCCCACCTCCCAGAGCCCCCAGCCCTGGGGATGGACAGACAGACAGACAGTTCTGCAGATGGCACCTACCGCTTCTGGGTTTCTGCATCCATCACGATGGAGATGTAGCCCTCAATGAGGGAGAAGGCAAAGAAGGTGATGGAGTCGAGGTCCTGGCTGCCGGCGCCAGCCTCTCTCGGGGGGCTGTGAAGTGGGGAGGGGGGGAGGGAAGAGAGCTGCAGGGAGGGGTCATGACCCCCAAAACTGGGAGGAGAAGGGCTTGGTGGTGGCACTGAGTGCCTTCGAGCATGATGTTAGGATGCTGCAGGGTGAGCCAGTGGGTGGGGAGGAGAGGCAGGGGCCAGGATCTACCCACAAGGTCTGCAGCTCATACAGCCACCGGGCTGGGGGGCAGCGGGTGTTGGCCATGCACAGGACAGGGGTGACACCAGGTTTTGGGGCATTCCAAAAGCACCATGGTGCCTCCGGAGCAGGAGGGTCCCACCAGAAGGGACCTCATCCCAGGGGACATGGGATGTCCCAGGCAGGAGCATCCCTGCACCCCAACACCATTCCCACCAGCCTTCTTTTGCAACCCATCCTCTCCTGTTTTGCAATCCCCCCTCCCTGGGCTTTGCTGCAATGGGGGGCTTGTCCCCCAGGTCACCTTGGGGCTCCTGTGTCCCACAGTGGCAGCAGGACCCATGGTACCCATGTGGCTGGAGCCCCCCAGCACGCTTGGGAGGGCAAAACCAGTTTGCAAAACACACCCAGAGCTTGAAAAGCCACTGGGAGCAGGGGAGGGGGGGGACACACATGTCACTGCAGTTCAGGTGGCACCGGGTGAGGGGCCACGGCCGTGTCCCAGTCCCTGGGACCCACCTGTGGGAGTAGAAGAGGACGTCGATGAGCATGGTGGCAATGGCGGGCAGTGTGTCGGGGGCCACGGTCAGGACGCAGAAGCGGGTCTGGGGGCTCTGCACGGGGTGCAGCGTGGGGCTGGCGGCTGGCAGGGGGAGAGCCACCCATCAGACCTGGGGACAGCTTGGGGACAGGACCGCAGTGCCACCCCGTGGCCACCGCAGCCGCAGCCCGGCATCCCTCAGGATGCAAGAGGTACCACGGTGGGAGCTGGAGCATCCTGGTGGGGACTGGGTGGCCCTGGGGGACACGGGACTTGGCATCACTCACCCGGCTTGGGCTTGAGGAAGCCATTGCTCACGTCGTCGCAGGTGACAGGGACACACTCGCCACTCTCCTCCTTGTAGATGTCAAACTCCCCCGCCAGCGTGTGGATCACCACCGGCAGATCCCGCTCCCGCACCTGGCCAGGGGTGTGGGATCAGCTGCCGCCCCTCCCTGCAGCCCACCAACCCCAGCCCCTGCCAGGGGGGCAGCAGGGTCCCCACCCAGCTCCGCCAGAGCCAACGCGCCGGTGGGACCAGGCACCACCGTCCCCGTCATCGCCTGGCACTCACCAGGATGAAGTCAGTCTGGTAGGTGGAGAGCATCAGCACCGAGACGTGGTGCTCAGCCAGCGGCGCGATGACCGACCTGGCGATCTTGGTGACTGGCCTGGCAGCCGGAGGGTGCCCGGCCATTGGAGACCACGCTGAGCACCAGCCAGGTCGAATCCGCCACCTGCATGAACTCGGAGGGCGGCAGCTCTGCGAGGGAGAAGGGGAGGCTGAGGCACGAGGCTCCTGGGGGCTCAGCACAGCCGAACAGCACCTGATGCCGCACACCCTGTCTGTGCCGCAGAGCTTGCGCCAGCTCCAGCACTGTATGTTACACTGTCCCTTGCGTGATGAGCTGGACCAGCAGAGCCAGATCAGGATCAGCCCCAGGCATGGGGCTGGAGATGCTGGTTTGGGGGCACAGCCCAGCCCCATCCGCAAGAGCCAGGCAGGGCTCAGCTGCTCCAGGCGCTGAGAGAGCGTCGGAATTCAGCTGCAGGGATGAGCGGGGCCAAGGCTACGACCCCGCCAGGCCCAGGACGTGTCTCTCCTCCCCATGCCAGCACCCCAGGCTGGGTGCGAGGGGGTGTTGGGGGGCACCGCACGCCAAAACCAGCACTGCCA